TATTTATAATTTAAATATATATACATATGTATATATATGGGAGATATAGACACATATATACGTGTGTGTATGTACACATGGAATTGTGTGTGTATATATATATGTATATATACACTTTTACAAATACATGCCTTTACATACATTCATACATATATAATATGTATAATCAGTGAAGTAGCAATAAATTGGGCCACAGAAGAGAGAAGTGGAATAGGGATTTAGGAGATTGAGGCAGTCCCAATCCTAATTATGGCAACTAATGAATTTTAACATCTTTAAGCAAGTCATTTAAACTCACTAGAACTGTATCCTTCTGAACAAAATCTGGAGATTTGATTGAATAATGTCTAAGATCTCTTTCATACATAAAATTCCACAACCTTCTTTAACATAAAAGTGAAGTCTCAATTTTTTTTAACATTAGGCCTATGGTTTTAAATAATAGATTTCTATAGTACCTCTTTTCTGTAGAACTCACTTCCTATCTTTTATCACATTTATCTTCAAACATTCCCAGTGAAGTTAGATGGGCAGAGACCCTTTTATCCCCATGGTAAAGATTGGGAGACTAAAGCCCCAAAGAGATTAAAATGGATTGCCTAAAGTAAGCCTGGTTCTGTCAGAGTTTATCATAAAAATCAAAGTTTCCTAACTCTAGTCTGATGGACTTTCTCTATACTGCTCTGCTTAGAACAAGGAACTACAGCTGCTGACTCAATGAAGATTAAAAATTTTCACAGGGTTCACTTGAAAGAGGAGGGAGAGAAGAATCATTGACCTCTAAGGTGATGAATCGAGCATATTCTAAAACCTAGCCTATAATAGAAGTCAAGGCAGTTCAATAAGTGTTTATTAAATATCTATAATGCTCAAGGCACTGTGCTGGCCCTCAAAATAAAAGGCAAATACCAAATCATTCTTGTCCTCAAGGAGCTTTTATTCGACTGAGGGGCACAGCATATACATGGGTAATGAAAAACAAAAAAAAGTCTCAAAGCTCTACTGGCTGACAGTAAATCTTTAATCCCCTTGCCAAGTGGAGAGATATTACAGTCTTAGTAGCATACATTTCAAATACAAGCTCATTTGCAAAAGCTAAGAGAGAAGCACGATGGAAGATTACAAGCAGTATCATCAAAGGAGTGAAGGAAAGAAGGAAGAAAAGAGGCTTTTATTAAGCACCTACTATGTGCTGGACATTGTGCTAAGCATTTGTCAAATATTATCTCATTTGATCCTTGCTATAACCCTGGGAGTTAGATGCTATTATAATCTCCATTTTATAGTTGAAGAAACTAAGGGAGACAAGAAAATAATAATTTGTCCAGGGTCATGCAGCTAGGAACTGTCTGAGGCAAGATTTGAATTCAGGTCTTCTTAAATCCAGGCACAGTACAGTATCCACTGAGCCACTTACAGGGCTCTGGAAATAACGTGTGTGTGTGTGTGTGTGTGTGTGTGTGTGTGTGTGTGTGTGTGTGTGTGTGTTTGTGTACGCATACATATGTGTGTATATATACACATACACACAGAGAGAATTAATATATTTACAAAATATATTCATATATTTACAAAATAAAACAAGATAGGGAGGGGAGGGCATGTACAATTGGAGGGAATCAAAGGCTTTGTGTAGAAGACAAAGCAGGAGTAAAGTCTTGAAGATGGCGAGGGATTCTTAAGGAGGAGGGAAGAAGGGCATGCAGGCCAAGTACAGGGTATAGAGAGCCCTCCGAGTAGATGGCTTCTCTCAGAAGTGCCAGGCCAGCTGTCTCTGCATTTCTCACCAGGTTACAGTCTGGGCTTCTCCATCATATTTTGCTCTAGGTCCCTGCCTTCCCTGCCCCTTCCCGCATTTCCAGCTTCCTTTTATGACTTGTCTTTTCCCATTAGAACGTTAACTCCTTGTGGGCAAAGAGTGCCTTTCTTTTTGCTTACATTCACATCCCCAGTACTTAGTACAGTTCCTGGTATGTAGTAAGTGCTAAATAAATATTTATTAACTGACTGTTGAGAGTACAAGGGCAAGGCAATGGGAAAGACAGAGACAAGAGAGAAACAAAGAGAGCAGATTCTTTTCTCCATCATTAAGAGTGGAGTCACCACATGTGGATTCTATAATCATGGAGTCCAGTGTATGAAAGTAAGGAGTAGAAATTAGCCCCAAATAAAACAGATATGGCAAGAGCAGCCACGCTTGACTAAGTACAGGTATATAGACCAGAGAATTCTGTGCTGCAAGTGATACCCTTACGAGGTCATTGAAGGACTGTCTCAGGTATCTGAACAAGGGAAAATACAAAAGGCTTGGGGGAAAAAAATCTCAAACCTTAGCAGTAGAAAAAAAAATAGGGAAAATACCCATAATGCCTTACTTACACGCCTATTTTTCCGATCTGTTCAGAATTTTTTGAGGGTAAGCTACTGTGTATCTCGGGGATGCCTGAAGGCATGATATGGGAAGGCAGATTTTTAAAAACTATATTCTACAGCAGATCACATCTTTAGTCACTATTAATGGAAAGGTACAACGAAAACAAGATCTCACTGTGTTTACTGTTTATTTGTTGACTATAAAATAGCATTTTATTCAGTCCAGGAAAATGCTACTTTAGAGGCTCTCCTCTGACAAGGTATTTGGCATGCAAAACTCATGCAAGATTCCTTGAAATACGAAACACCAGAAATAATATTGTTTGATGATCCTCTGCCTGTTAATATGAAGTGAGACACAACATAGGGATGATGTATACTTAACAATGGTATTTGCCACTGCCCTGAATGGGACTCAGCTCAGAGCTCAAATAGAAGAGAGATTTCATATATGACCAGTTCCTTCTGATGCTTCTGTTTTGCAGATGACATTGTGTTGATTATGTATAAACCCAGAACATTGCAGAGCTTCCTAGTTGAGATCTATAATCACTCAAAAGGGTTTGATCTCATAATCCACAATGGATATTAGAATGAATGAATAATCATTAGATTTTTAGAAGTGAATGAAGAACACTTACTATCCAGAATATGACAGGCAGCTAGCCAGATGAGCAGTCCATAGATCTGGTCCACCAGTACACAGTTCTTGAAAGAAACTGTAAGTACATGATATACTGGTTCTGGAGTTAATTAGCAGGGGGATAGTGGTCTGGATTACCTGTAGGAAAATGCAATTCTTGTAATAAACACAGGCTTCTCACTGAGGGTTTAAGTGGCTTGACCACAGTCACACAACTAATATGTTTCAGGAGCAGTGTGGAGTAGTGGATAGAGCAGAAGACTTGGAATTAGGCTGAGACCTGAGTTTAAATCCAGCTTCAGATTCTTACTAGTGACCCTAGGCAAGTCACTTAATTTCTCTGTGCCTCAGCTTCCTCATCTATAGATATGAAGGTGGTAGACTTGACCTGTAAGACTCCTTTTACCTCTAAACTTATGATCCTATATGATCATTTCTACACGATCTTTCTCATTAAAGTAAATATCTTTTCAACAATATTCTTCTGGTGATTCTGCATGAGTAAGTCATGAAATACCATAATCTCCAAAAAATTAAAGTTGAGAATCACTCAAAAGGCAATAGAAAAAGCCCTTTTAGGGGATGAGCAGGCTGTAATACATTATCGATGAAGAACTACACAAGAGAATAATAATGAACAATAACGATAATTTATATAGTGCTTTAAGTTAAAAAAAAGTGCTTTATAAATATCTCATTTGATCCTCACCACAATCTTGGAAGAAAGGTGCTATTACTATCCCCATTTTACAGTTAAGGAAATTGGGACAGAAAGAGATTAAGTGACTTGCCCAGGGTTACATAGCTTATAGGTGTCTAAGGTCACATTTGAACTTAGATCTTCCTGACTCTAGGTCCAGTGGACTCTATCCATTGCACCACCTAGCTGACCTGGGTAGCAACTTAAAGGATAGTATAAGATGCGTTTATGGCTGGAAGGTGGAGGAAAGGAGGGAGACAATCGGCAAGGCAAGGGATAGCCTTCATGTTCCATTGGTATCCACACAATTTCAACAGATCTAAAGGAAGCCCCCAAGTATGTTGAGTGGACCCACTATGAAGGATCTGGAGGAGCTCATAGAGCAGTCACACAGCATGGGAAAACACTGCTACATGTCTCCATCTTCATTGGAGGGAGCACCCACGTTAAGGAGAGCATGTATCATTGTTGTGTGTCTATACAGTACTATACGTGCATCCAAAAACACTGCTCCTTCTGCATGGCTTCTCTAGGCAAAGCATGGCTGGTTTTTATGTAGCTCTTAGGATATTTGAATTCAGGAAAGATCTATGATTTCTTCTAGTAGGGTACACCCTCCACCAATACAGATATCGTAGATAAGTCCTGTGGAGTTGCCTGAGACACAGCAAAGTTGGATTTGCCCAAGGTGATTCAGTTAGCCTGACTCCAATTAGCACAGGTATGAAAACGCAATTTTGTTTGTAATAGTTCTCAAATGCTACCTTCTCTATGAAGCCTTCTTTGGGCTTTCTTATTAGGAAATAATTTTCCCTCGATAGTAGTGTGTTTTGCATTGCTCAGGTAATATTGTACATTCTAATGATCACTGATTATGTTTTATCTGTATATGAAATCAGAAGTTCCATGTGAACAGGGACTGAATCTTATATAAACTTTGAATCTCCCCCAATGCATAGTAACTCCATACAGTTGTTGTACAGTTATTTCAGTTGTGTCCAACTCTTCGTGACACCATTTGGAGTTTTCTTGGCAAAGATATTGGAGTGGTTTGCCATTTCCTTCTCCAGATCATTTTAGATATGAGGAAACTGAGGTAAACAGGGTTAAGTGACTTGCCCAGGGTCACACATCTGATAAGTGTCTGAGGCCAGATTTGTACTCAGGAAGAGGAGTCTTCCTGACTCCAGGCCTGGCACTCTATCCACTGAGCCAACTAGCTTCCCCTTAAGATGAATACATGTGTAACTTAGTTTTGGATTAGAAAGCAAATAGAACATGGCATCAGAGGATTTTGAGCCATTGCATTGGAATGGAATGGAACAGGTAGCCCGTCCGTTTAAGGGGGTCATCATCCGGGCCCCCATCACTGGCTCCTAAATCCATTGACATTTCTTTTTTTGGAGCAGAGTACACTCCCCGGGGAACTACCAGTGTCTTGCTCTCCAGCTCCCTCCGCTTGCTGAGGAGCTCCCGCTGGAAGGCAGACACTGACTGCAGCAGATCTAGGCTTTCCACCTCAGATGGTGGGATCACAATACTGCAATCCAGGAACTCACTGATGGCGCCCAGCAGATCCTGCCAGTCATGCGCCTGGTATGCAGCCTCATGGAATAGCTTGTCGGACATGAGAGTAGCAAAGGAGCGTCCCAACTCGTGGTAGTCAATGCCAGCCTCTCTCGGTCCCAGCGTCACAAAGATGAAACAGACAGGCACGGAAATCTCAAGGACAGATTCCAGGAGCACAGCCTCATTCATCTGGACAAAAGCTGCAGCAGGCTGTTCCATAAAAGGGACAGAGCCCACAAGCACAACTGTGGCTTCAGCATTCTCAGGAATCTTATCCAGCAGCTTCAAGCTTTTCCCTCTGTGGCCATCTCCTCCAGGGATGTGCAGGGGCTTCTCTCTGCCGTCAGGATTATGGGGCCAGAGTGGAGCTGATTCACTAAGGTCATCCACCATAGTGGGGACAGCATTGTCAGAAACATGGCCTGGAGTTGGGTGATGGTTCCCCAGCATGGAGTTCACACTGGAGCTTGAGGGGTTTCGGGGGAAAAAGCCTCCCTCTTTGTCATCATTAGGGTGGCTGTGTTTTAGTAACAGAGTGCGCAGTACACTTGCTCTGTCCTCAGGACGGATTTGGTCTGACATGATCATTGTTTCCACCACAAGGTGTGCGATGCCAGGCAAGGTGGTCTGCTCTAGGTCCGGGAGGGTGGCCCCTCGGGCAATGGTTTTCCTCAGCTCCAGAAGGCTATAGAAAGACAAGGAAGCCACGTGGGGCTTCCCCCAACACTTGGTCTCCTCTTCCACGTCCTCCTCAAACTTGATCCACTGAGCAGTTTCACGCCATTGAGGCTCCTGGGCCTTGTCCAGCATGAGCTCATTCAGTTCCACAAACACCTCATGAGGCCTCTGATCCATTTTCTTGGAAAGCAAATAGAACATGGCATCAGAAGATTTTGAGCCATAAGAGACCTTAGAGGTTTTCTAGCCTAAATCCTTCTTTTTATAGAAAGGGAAACTGAGGACCAGAGAGGACTTAGCCAAAGCCATACATCCTGCAGCAAAATTCTGAAGTAGGCAAAATTTGTTCAGCTTCTGGCAGTGTATCAGGAGCCCAGCAGCTCTAGTCCTCACAGGCTTTTTGGAAGTATTGCTGTGCATGCCTTAAAGGTCCCCTTTCTTCAGGGTTTTTTTTTTAATTTGGTAATAACACTTTTATTTCCCTAGATTCCGTGCTTAGACATACAAAAATGGGTGGAATGGAATGCAACTCAATTATTTTAAGCATATAAAAGAAAGACAGTTCCTCTTCCATCAGTTTTGAGAAGTCCTGGTTTAATCTTAGCAGGCTGATTCCTCTGTACAGTGCTGTACTCAAAGGTGGCCTTACACATTGGCCTTCATGGTCTCCAGGTAGTGCTATTTCAGGGATGACCAGGAGATTTCTTACGGAACAAAGAAAAGGCATTTATGAGCCTCAGAAGTTTGAAAATTGTGCCACTTGGTTAATTAACACAGGTGTTGAGCTTCCTGTGACTTAACATAGCAAAATGAAATAGGCCAAAAACAGACCAAGAAGAGGAGCTTTAAATATGCATTTAGTGACAGGGACTGGACCAGTGATTTCATTGGTATGGGGAACTCCCAGGTGAGGAAATTCCCTCTGCCAATGCAAAATGCTACCTCCTCTGCAACTTAATAATTTTAGGGAGTAGCCAGAGGACTCATAGGCCAAGGTCACACAAAGCCAATATGCATCAGAGGCAGGACTTGAATCCAGGTCTTTAGGTTTTGTGGATAATTCTTTATCCATCCATAGATCAAAAAAAATATTTATTATAGATACTCACAGATACAAAATATCTATGAACATAATGTCTCTCTGGTATATTTATCAACTTTAAAAGTATCTCATAAGGGGCAGCTAGGTGGTTCAGTATAAAGAGCACTGGCCCTGGAGTCAGAAGGACCTGAGTTCAAATCTAGCCTTGGACACTTGCCTTGGACACAGCTTTGTGACCCTGGCCAAGTCACTTAACCCTGATTGCCTCAAAGAAAGAGGGGGGAAAAAAAGTGTGCCATGTTTTTATTGATTGCCTAGCTTGCATATTCCTAGTCCAGTTTTTCCCAGAATACTCTCCTGCCTACTGGCTAATGCTCGATGCCCTAGTGGATAAAGTACTCAACTTAGAGTACAGAAGATCTGACCTCGAATCCAGTCTCAGACACTTATTAGCTGTTTGACTCTGGGCAAGTCACTTGATCTCTCTCAGACTCAGTTTCCCCCTCTGTAAAATGGGGATAATTATAGCACCTACCTCACAGGGTCGTTGTGAGGATCAAGGGAGATAAATTACATGAAGTTCTTTACAGACGTCAAAGCGTTACGTAAGTGCTGGCTATTATTAATGCCTAAAATCACACTGATATTATTTCTTCTAAGTAAAAAGTAATTTTTAATAGCTGGCATGCATGATAAATATCTTAACTTTAACTGCCTTAAGTTTGGCAGTCTCTGGCTTCTTCTTTCCTTCAGTGACATAGATGACAGAGGCACCTTGGTGACAGAGGTGAGGATGGCACTTTGGTGACATTGGTGACATTTTTTATGAAGGTAACATTTTCAGATAAGTGACAAAAGTGATGTTTACAATTTGGAGACATAGGTAGCATTTGCGCATAAGTGACATAGGCAGCATTTGCCCATAAATGACACAGCTGGCATTTGGAGATTGATGTCATAGGTGGCATTGGAAGCTAGGTGAAATTAAAGACATGGAAGACATCTGACAAGGGTGCCATTAGCAGCTAGATGTTATAGGTGACATTGGCCAGTCAGAGAAACAGGCGGCCTTACAGAGAAGTGACATGGGTGGCATTTTGCTGGCATATGATATAGGTGGCATTTGGAGATTGGTGTCACAGGTGGCATTGGAAGATGGATGACATAGGTGGCAATGGTTGAGAAGACAGAGGTGGCATTTGGCTAAAGGAGACATCAGTGACATTGGCACATCAGTAACATTTGCTCATAGGGGGTATGGATGACATTGACACATTGGTGAACTTGGTGACATTTGTCAGTAGGTGACGCAGATAGGTGAAAAAAATTATGCTGGCATTTAGGCAACATGGATGGCATTGGCAGATAGGTAACATAGGTGGCATTTGCCAATAGGTGACACTGGCTCATAAGCGACATGGGTGACATTAGCACATTAGTGACATTTGTAGATAAGTGCCATGTACAGATAGGTGACAAAAGTGACATTTATATTTAGGGGACCCAGGTAGCATTTATACATAAGTGACATAAGTGGCATTTGCAGTTATATTCCATGGGTGGCATGTGAAGATTACTGTCACAGGTGGCATGGGTAAATGGGTGACATAGGTGGCATTTAGCAATAGGTGACAGCAGCACCTTGATGACATAGGTGACATTTTCAGATATGTGACAAAAGTGACATTTGCATATTGGAGACATAGGCAGCATTTGCCCATAAATGACATAGCTGGCATTTGGAGATTGGTGTCACAGATGACATTGCCACTTGATTGAAATAAAAGGCATTGCAGACATTTGACAAGGGTGCAATTAGCAGCTAGATGCTATAGGTGACATTGGCCAGTAAGGGATATAGGTGGCCTTTATAGAGAGGTGACATGGGTGGCATCTGCCAGTATCTGATATGGGTGGTATTTGGAGATTGGTGTCACAAGTGCCACTGGGAGATGGGTGACAGAGGTGGCATTGGCAGAGGGGACATAGGTGGCATTTGCCAATAGATGACATTAGCACGTAGGTGACACCGGGTCATAAGTGACATGGCTGACATTAGCTCAATGATGACTTTTGCAGATAGGTGACAAAAGAGACCATTGAATTTAGGGGCCATAGGTGGCATTTGCACATAAGTGACATAGGTGGCATTTGCAGTTATATTACATAGGTGGCATGTGGAGATTGCTGTCACAGGTGACATCAGCATATAGGTGACATAGATGGCATTGGCAGTTGGATGAAATGAAAGACATTGCAGACACTTGACAAGGGTGCCATTAGCAGCTAGCTACAACAGCCATAGACCAACAGCTGCTCCCAGGCAGGATGGAAGCAGGGTTAAGACAAACAGAGCGAAGTAGTTATCTTTGGGGAGTGAGGAGTGGAGGTAGGGAAGTATGTCACCAAAGTGCCACCATCACCTTGCCTTCCCAACTTAATCACCACTTCCTTCTTTCCCATCCATCCCTCAACTGCTAGAATCTTCTCTAATATTACCTCCCACCCTGAACCTCCCATGTTACTTCCCCCATTCTTCTTGTCTCCATCATGTCTGCAGCCAAATTTGACCTCAGATCTTCATGATGCCAAGCTTGGTGGTCTATTCACTCTGCCACATAGATGCTCCTTTAACACACTTTCCTTGTTGATGGATCTTTAAATCCTGGGGTACAAAGTATACTCCTCCCTGTCTCACCCACCTACTTCTACTGGCATCTCATTTCCAAAGGTGCATTGGGTTTGACTTCCCTTTGAAAATATGAAATAGAAATAAAAAAATAAATAGATGCATAAATAAATACATAGATATATAATTAAATAAATAAAGTGGTCACAGCTCTTAGCTCAAGCAACTATTTGCCACAATTCTCACAATGAGTTTATTTTCTCATTGTGGATAGTTCTCAGTTTTTCTATCTGAAAAATGAAGGGTTGGACTAGATGATATCTAAGGTCTAATTTATATCTTAGCTCTAAATCTATGATCCTATCATCATCCCTCATCCATAGCTACCACAATATCTTCAATAATAACTCTGCATAACCTAAAATTTGTGATTCAAATTAACTTCTTTCACATGAAACAAACAGTCCTTTAATTAGCTCTTCATTAAGTATCCTTAAGTATACCACATCTCCTTGATAACCATAACATTATTAATAAGAATACTTAAAGTATCCAGTTTCCCTAATGTGAGATACAATCAAAGGCACTCTAGAATCAGCTAGTACCTGTTCTTGGGAGCTTGTTAAATTTTCAGGATGAGTATTTACACCTTCGAAATTGGCAGTCATTATATATCAGGAAGGCCAGACAGGTGGTGTGATGGATAGGGTGCTGAACCTGGAATCAGGAAGACTCATCTTCATAAGTTCAAGTCTGGCCTCAGATACTTTTACTAGCTTTAAATTTAACACCTGTTGGCCAGCCTGATCCACAGGCCTCTCAGATTTTAATTGGGCTCCTTCTTGGATGATAGCTGAAGAGACCCTCACCAAAGCCCACTCAGACCTAGTGTTCCATTTGTATAGTCTTGGAGAACCCAAGGCTGCCTTCATGCTACAATGAGATATTGGACAACTCCAAGCAGGAATACTGAGAGCATTAAAACTTCTCTCACCCCAGCATAATCTTTTTTTTTTCTTTTTAATGTGTCTCCAAAATATAGAGTTCCCCTTACAGTAAAATGACTTTATTATTCCCATTTTAGAGTTGAGAGAATAGGCTGAGAATTATCCAAGTTCACAAGCTCAGCTGACAACAGAGTTGGGACCAGAATCTGCATTTTGAGAGGGAACCCCCAAGACCCTCACTGGGGTTACCTGTGTAATACTTCAATGAAAAAAAAAACCAGTAGCTTCAACCTAACCCTAACAGGCAGCTGTAGTGCCTCAGTAGATAGAGCCCCAAGCCTGGATTCAGGATAGCCTGAGTTCAAATCCAGCCTCAGACACTTACTAGCTGTGTGACCCTGGGCAAATCACTTAACCCTGTTTGCCTTGCTTGCATCATCTGTAAAATGAGCTGCCAATCTTTGTGGCGTTTAGAATTGAAAGTAATTTTTGAAGTTATTTAGTCTAATCTCCTCATTTTCTGCTTGATGAAACTGAGGTCTAGAAAAGCAAAATAATT